ATTGAATAAAATGTGCAAGTGTATCAAATTTTGTGCAAGTTTGTACACGCATAGTTTGTATGTGTAAGCGTGTGTGTGTTTGTATATGTGTATGCATATATTTATGTGTTTGGGTGTTTGTATATGTGTATGCTTATATGTATGTGTTTGTATATGTATTTGTGTATATGTGTTGATGTGTTTTTTTCGTTTGTTAAGTTGCACGAGATGGTTTGTGGTCGACTTCTGATTCGTTCTATCTATTTTTATTTGTAACCTGGCGGGCTTTCATCTTCTGAAGTTTGTTTTTTATTCATTGAACTCTTAATATGGTTAATATTAAATGCAACGACATAACCGCTACTACGACTTTTACTGCTCTAACTAGCAGAAATAATTGCTGCTGACACTGCTGTAACGACTATTAATGAACATTATTGCTACTGCCACAACTGCTACAACAACATCAACTACTTCTACTACTACCACTACTACTGTTACAACAACAACTACTACTACTACAACTACCACTACTTAAATTATTATCTTATTACATCAGAAACTATTATTACCAATGCAAATACTGTTACTGTTATGTATAATACTTTATTACCTCAGCAGTAACTTGGCTTTTATCGTTTTTGTGTTATTGTTTTAACAGTAGAGAACAATAAAACTGGGAATATTTGGTGCAGTATAAAACTTGCATCGTCGTCATCACCATCATCATCATTGTCACCATCATTATTACCATCATCGTCTTCCTCTTCCTTTTCTTTATCATCATCTCTTTCATCATCATTATCCTTTATCATCATCATGTCCTCATCATTAATCTCATCTAGCAGAGTTTACCATTCAATTGCATCACATCATGAAATAGACTGGCTGGTTGCCTGGTGGTATGATATCCTTATATCATTACACCACATTGTTGCATCACTATCACATGGTGATATATGTAATATGACATTGCCGTGATATCATGCTTATATCAATACTGTATCATCTGCATATTTGTATAGGGGTATCATTGTCGTTATTTTATCATTGTCGTTATCATGGTATCCTCGTATTCATCATCATTATCCAAATCATCATCATCATTATACAAATCATCATCATTATTATCCGAATCATCATCATCATTATCATCATCTAAATCATCATCATCATAAAAATCTTCATCATAATTGTTTCTTTGGCATATGACCGGCGTTTCTATCATCGTCATCATCATCAGCCCTAGTGAGTGAGTAAAATTATCATTAATACTACCCCATCATGTTTTGCTGCTGCATTTGTCAGTTTACTGATATCACCGCTATCATCGTCATTACCATCATCTTGTTTGGTCATCATCATCGTTATCAGCAACATCATCGTCATCATCCTTATCGTCTTCAAAATCTTCAGCAACATTATTATTGTCATTATCATCATCGTCATCCATATCATCATCATCATTATAACCACCATCATCATCTTCATCGTCTACATCACCATCATCGTCATTATCGTCATCGTCGTCGTCGTCACTATCATCCTCATGGCACGTGTGATTCAGGTATGTTTGCTTCAGCAATCATGAGAAAAGGCTTGAATGTCATACACACATTCATACGCTCATTGTTTATAAAACGCCATACACGCGCATTAAGAGAGATAGATGGTGCGAGTGAGAGAGAGAGAGAGAGAGAGAGAGAGAGAGAAATACGGCGAGGGTGGGGTGTATTCTTGTTATGTTTAAGAGTTGTTATGTATATGTACAAATATATACATACGTACACGTACATGGATGTGTGGGCTTTTTGTGATTTTTATTTTTCATTCGTTTTTCATATTTGTAAAATAAAATGATTGCTTGTGTTTGAGTGTGTGTGTGATGTGTCTGTGAGTTTACGTGGTGTGTGTGTGAGTTTATGTTTTGTTATTTAATTTTTCATCGGTTGAAAATGATTTATAAAATATTTAATGAAAAGTCGGTCGGTTCTTAACTCGATTAACGAATGATCGAGATAAATTGGCGACCGGTAACTTCAGTGATGTGCGTTTGTGTGTGTATGTACGTGTATGTACGTTTTGTTGTGTGTACGTGCGGTGTACAATGTACATGTGTGCATTTTTATTGTTCTGCACATGTGTATGTTGTAGAGACTTATTTTTATTTATTTGTTGGCTTTGTTTGTTTGAATGACTTGTTGTGGAGATGTGCCCTGCTGCTAGTTCGAATGCCTCGCGTGCTAAGCCGTGTTTTTATTCGTTTATTCATTTGTTCGTTCGTTCATTCGATCATTTCTTCAGTCATTGAAACTTTTTTTCATTCACTGCTCAATCAATCATTCGTTTATTCATTCATTCATTCGTTCGTTTTCCGTTCATATCTTGGCTTATTCGTGTTTGGGATTTTTATTCATTTTTTTTTCTAATTTTTGTACACGTTCGCTCATTAAAGCGTTATTTTGAAGTCAGAAATTATTACTCTAAACATTTTTTTCAGATGTTCATTCATTCCTATGATCTGTTATTTATCAGCGTTTCATTCATTATTCATTCCATCAATCATTCATTATTCATTCCATCAATCATTCATTATTCATTCCATCAATCATTCATTATTCATTAACTCAATCATTCATTATTCATTAACTCAATCAATCATACCATCATTCTATCAAGCAATCAAACGTTCAATTCTCTATTGAATTCAATCGTATTTTTTTCATCTATTGTTCCGTTAATTAATTAACTAGTTAATTAATTAAATAGTTAATTAATTTATTAATTAGCTCATTCATTCATTCATCCATTTGTTTATTCATTCATTCATTTATTCTTTCATGAAGAAAAAACTAAATAAATAGATAAATGAATGAATAATTAAATAGAAATAAATAAATTCATAAGTGAATAAAAATTATATACAATGGTATGTGAGTGAGTATATGACTTATAAAGAATCATAAGATTCACATTCATTCATTCATTCTCTGGCAACAATTTAGTTGCTCTTTTTATCTCCCTTTTCTTAGAAAGACCAACTTAGCGGATAAAACGTATTGCATGAAACAAACATATACAGAAGGATACAAAGAGGCATGCACATTAAACACGCGTCTATGCATGCATGCATGCATGCATTCATCTACCTGCGTGCGTGTGTGTATGTGTGCCTGTGTGTATGTGTGCGTGCGTGCGTGTTGACATACACATGCTGGGACTTGCCGCACGACACTTAGATATGAACTTATAAATATATATATATATATATATATATAAATATATGTTTATATAAAGGAATATATAAGTTACGTATATGTTTAAATCTAGTTATATATAAGTATATGTTTATATATGTATATATATACATATATATATATATTTGTTTTGACTGGAATATATATTTGTATGTATATATGTATGTATATATGTTATATGAACTAGAAACGTCATTACGAAATTCAATTATGGTTCACCTGTGAAATTTTTTTCAATCGCAAACTAATTTTTTTTTAAATTTTTTGATTTCTATTTCCTCTTTGATGCGTTGTGAAATTATTTTTTTTGCTTCTTCTTTTTCTCTATCTTTTTTTTTACTATTTTTCGTCTTTTTTCTTTGTTTTTGTTGTTGCTTGCACTTTGTTGTTGTCTCGCATTGGATAGGACTTTTAAACAGTCTCCCTCTGTCCAGTTGACTCAGAAGCTGATGCTTGTGATGCCGTGTCATTTTGAGACCACGAATCAAATGCATTCTTGCTAATCTGGGGGCAAGCTATTACAAATAAATAAATTAAAAAATTAAATTAAAAAATAAATTAATAGACGATGCAGTATAATTCGTCGCGTTATGGACTGCCGACGGAGACATTTTATTCTATGGTGATGTTTTTTGCAATTTTGTTCATATGAAATTACGTTATTAGTTCATTTTAATTATGTATCTGTTTCTTCATCAATATGTTATAAAAAAAAGAGATGCACGTACGTCAGTGAACCTCATCACTGCAACAGAGGGACCAGACCTTTCCGCCGCCATATTTCTGTTTATTTTTATTTATTTTCATTAGAAATTATTCACTAACATAGAACAGAGTGTCTTTCGTACGTTTCTTTCTTCTAACCGCTTTCCACAATTGCTTTTTTGTTGTTCTATGTTTTGTATGTTTGTATGTCTGGAAGCTTGCACGAATGTATTTGTATGTGTATGTGTGTATGTATAAGTTTACACACACACACACACACACACACACACACACACACACACGATGTATAACTGTATGTATAAAAATGTATGTATGGGAGCTTGCACGTTGTGAATCTTATAAACTAATCCAAGTCCGACTTTTCCAGTGCATGTGAATTTGTCCATGCCTCGATTTTTTCTCCACTTTGAAATTTTTGCGTTTGGATGTTTTTAATCTTTTCTGTAATTATGTTACGTTCTGTTGTTGCGTTCGTGTATTATTATGGTACATCCACCAATCAAAGCTCTTGCTTACATTCTTTCATACTTTATATTCACGTTAAACTTGCTGCCATTGAAGTTAATTATAAATATAATATCATGTTTTTCGTGTGTCGGGTTGAACGTTTTCTCATTGACGAGTGTAAGCAACAAGTTACAAAAGTATCCTAGCTGTTGCTAAAACAAAATGATTAGCACCAACAGTATGTTCATGCAACGGTTATCAATACCGCAATCAGGTTATCATTTATGTCATCACAATCAGGTGATCAAATTTATAAACACAATCACATGATTATCCTCATTTTCATCAACATCATCATCATCATTTTCATCATCATCATCATCATTATCACCCCACCACAAACAAACAATCAATCAAACAAACACCAACAGACGCCTCAAACAAGAGAAAAGATTTCAACAACAACATCGGCACGGACTCCAGGAAATCCAACATGTTGGCCACAATAAACAACAGCAACATAAACAACAGCAACAACATCATGAACAACAATAACAACATCAGCAACAACACCAACAGCAACATCAACAGCCACAACAACAATATGACAACAACGTCGTCGACTAACGCATCCAACTCAACAGCCGCCAAAAAGCCGCGACTCGTCTTCACAGACGTACAGAGGCGAACGTTGATGGCAATCTTCGAGCAGACGAGGCGACCGAACAAGGAAATCCAGACGGCCATCGCCGAGCAGCTGGGATTGAAAATTTCAACCGTAGCCAACTTTTTCATGAACGCCCGACGCAGATCATTCGAGAAGTACGTGGAAGATGACAACTCAGAGTCATCCATTCAAAACAGTAGCGGAGCCGATGATGATTCTTTTAATAATAACAACAACAATAATAATAACAATAACAATACAAACATTAATAACAACAACAGATAACATTAATAAGAACAGAAATGCGCACACTTACAAACAAGCAAATAAACAGACAAACAAACAGACTGACTGACTGAAAACATTGTATCCATTCGAGAACATTCCCAACATTTCGACGGGTTTTCATCTTGTCCTATGCAATAACAATTTTTTCAATGATTTTATATGTTATTTTTTTCTGTTTTGTTGTTTCATTTTTAAACGTATGCATTTCTTTAGACATATTTTACGACAAATATTTGAAATATGTGGCATTTGTTATGAGTTACAGCATTCAAACTTCATACATGGGCTCGTTGGTCACTCATCGTCATTGCTCTCACACAACTCTCTCTCTCTCTCATTGTTTTCACACAGGTAACAGTTTTTAGAAATAAAAATTGAGGTAAAAATTCATCAATGCTACAATTTAGACACATATTTTGAAGTTCATTTGTCTTTTAATATATGTTGTATTATCACATGCAAGCAAAATATTGACTTGCTAACATGATTTTTGTCTGTTGCGTTCTTCAAACAAAGTGTACATAGTCACAACACACAAACTAGATTGCCTGCTACATAATAATTCCAACTTGTAAATCTAACAACTGTAATGTCAACAAGCAATAGCTATTTTCAATATTTTTTATTTTTAAAAATTATTTTGATTTGTTTCAAGAGATCTAGATACTGAAATACTCATTTCTATATTTATTGCATTACTGCGTGTACTTTTTTTCATTTTCATGTACATTATTTTGGTGTGGAAGCTGTTAAATGATTGTGCACAATGTGTTTTTTATGTACACTTTCATATACACACATATGTATATATAAATAAATATATATATATTTATATATATATGTATATATATATATATTGGAAGGAGGCCATATACAGTATTGTATGAATTCTTCCAAAAGGTTGGCATTAATCAATTTAAAGTTAGTCTTTTCAAATTTCCTTGCTAGAATTTTCTGGAAATTATTAAATTCATTGAAAATAATCACGATGAGCATGATTAATTTGGATGACAACAGTTTTATCAAATTTTCATGATGAACTTGGATAATAAATAATTCTATTCTCAATAAATTGAACAGTTTCCAGATAATTCTAGTAAGGAATATTGAAAAGACAAACTTTAAATTGATTAATGCCAACACTTCGCTAGAATTTAAACAATACTATTATATATATATATATATATATATATATATATATATATATATATATATATATATATATATATATATATATACTTATACATACTATCATTCCCAGTGTTTGTATAACATATCTAGTCCTTGACATCCCATTCCATTGTTTTCCACTTGTTTGTTGTTTCATTCCGCTTTTGTTTTATTTTCTATTGTTGATAATTTAATAGAATAATTCCTAAAATTAAAGAGTTTATTTTATCTATGCTTTTATACCTGAAATATTTTCAACTAACAAACCGACCGAACGAACGAACCGACCGACCATCTACCATAACGTCATTGTCAAACCTAGTCCTTACTTAAAAACAAACAAAGTCATCTTGAAATATCATGAATTGATTAAAAGTTACATTTAACATTATTAATATCGTGAGGAATCAATCGCTACACACTTTCTATTTTTAATTGTTTTATTTCATTTTTGTGTGTTAATTTAATTTATTGTTTATATCGTTGAAATTTCATTTGTTTCGCAATACGAATGTACATTTTTTGAGTTTTTTTTTTTGTTATTTAAATTATGTTATTCGTTATTTATCATTATGGGATTGGATATATATCATGTATTTATTTTTTCGCACACACACACACACACGCACTCATATTTATTTTT